ATTTTGTTATTTTGTGAATCAATTTATTAACTTTGTGTGTGCTCTAAAAAGACATCTATATAAAATGAAAATAATTAAGAAACAATATCATTTCCAATTGAATTTTGAAGCTAAAGCCATGCCGCCATGAATGGGAAAGCATTTAAATTCCCAGCACAGTTATACTGACAGCAACCGAAAAATGAGGTTCTTATATGATTTCAAGCTGTCAAATATTTTGAAAGTTCAATTCCGATCGAAAGCTTCAACAGCTGTCAATAGGCAGCGCCTACAAATGGGATTACACTTCATTGATCACCTTCAAGGCAATATTCTGAAAGAAACAATTTCAAACCCACGTTAGACAGCAAAGTTTCAGTAAAAATGCAAATGTACGAAACTTGTGGATTAAAAAAGAAAAAAAAATGAAACTTTAGCAAGGATAGGAAGTATTTCGCACATGTATTTACATTTATTTTATTACCTAACATAAATTGCGGCAAACAAAGGAACGCAATATTGTCAATTCGACAACGAGGCAGAGTCCAACGGCAATTGTTGCCATCATGCGAATGGCAACAGCAACTGCAACTGCAACAGCAACAGCATCAACTAGCAACACAAAGCGGTAGCAGCAGCAGCAGCAGTCGACTATGTGGCAAGCCGCCAGCAAGCGGAACAGCAGGAGTTGTTGGCCTAGCCCTGGGTGAGCTCATGTTCGGCTCCTGCTGTTGTCTTCCTGCCACTGCCCCAACGACAGACACCGCGTGCACTTCCGCTTTATGCTGTAAAGTGCACCGCAGGGGTTCATTGTCCTTGTGCAAATTGGTCTGAGTTTATTGCCAATGGCTGTTCGCAGCAGACGCTGTCCGACCCAACAGCTGCTCCTGGCCAATTCTCCTTCTCTCTCTCTCTCTCTCTCTATCTCTATCTCTTTGTAAATGGGATGCGCTGCCGTCTGGACTGGCGCTCAGCAATAAAACTGCACTTTGAGGCTGCACAAAGTTTGCTTAAGATTTCAATTTGTTGCTGGAAGCTGCCGACGCCGCATTGTGCGCAACAATTTGCAATAGTAAAATTGCCCCCATCTGCGCTCTAACTTTGGCCCCAAATGATAAATGCCTGCTAAATGCCACAGACTGCAATCGCTACCACGATTTATATGGCCCACGATGTTATCAATGTGTTCAGCTCCTTAAACTACGCGCGCAGCTCTCAAATAGGCCCATTAATTTGGACTCAACTTTGCCAACTTCAATTACAGCCAACGAAATTTCGACAGAGCTAACACTAGAAATATATACACTAGAAAAAAAATGGGATTAATAATTGTAAAGGAAAGTAAACAGACTCATTGAGAAGAAGAAGAAAATATATAATTATTTAATTTCATTTTATTCAACTGCTATTTGATTGCTCCATTTATTCAAAAATTTCTAATTTGATATATTCCCTATTATTTCTCTCAGTGTATGCATTGCCCTTCTAACTTTGTCTGCATCGCGTTACATGTGAGAAGCGTTTTGCATAAGCACTCGGCTTTCCTTCAAGGACAACACGTGACTTTCCAACTGTAATGGAAACTTTTCACTTTTAGCCAAACTTATGAAATATTATCGCTCGCAATGCCTGGCGTCGGGGGATAAGTTTTGGTCTGCTGCCACCTGGCACAAGTTTACGACAGAATATTTTGAGTGCTCGGCTAATGAAATTAGACGTCTCTGTATGACAAAGCAAGCAACTGCGACATTCTCCATCCAGCAAATGCGAAATGCTCAAATAATGATACGGCTCAGCCAAATTGCATAAAGCGGGTTTAATAATTAACACAATTGCCCCTAACTGGCAGCTAATTGTTATATAGACGGGCATGAGCTAAGTGCAAGTTCTAGGCAATGATATACCCTTTGAAGTGCTAGAGATTGCATATGTGTTTTGCACTTAAATGTTTTCCAATTACCTTATTAAACAATTAGAGATCTGATCTAAGCAATGTGTATAACAAATCTTTAATAGATATGAGATCTACGTGGATTTCTAATATAGTTTTATATTAATGGAAATATTATATCACAACTCATTAAACTTTTAACTGTTTCAGCAATAAAAACAAATATTTGGTTTTTTTTTTTATAAAAACTGATTTATTCGAAAATCTCGTTTGAGGTCTCTTATTTACTGTGAAATACTCATTTGTTTTGTAATTGGCTGGCGAATTGGGAAGTTAAATTAATTAAACTAACGGCCGTAGCCACCTGCAGAGGCTGAGGCAGATGCTGATGCAGAGGAGCTAGCACCACTCTTACCGCCACCGTAGCCACCGCCGCCTCCTCCGTGCTTGCCGCCACCTCCGTAGCCACCACCTCCGTAGCCGCCACCACCGAAGCCGCCGCCGCCGCCGCTGCCAAACTTGCCGCCACCGTGCTTGCCTCCAAGTCCAAGGCCGCCGCCAACGAATGGTCCACCGGAGAAACCGCCGCCGCCATGGCCGCCATGACCACCGCCAATACCGCCATGACCGCCGCCAATGGCGCCTCCACTGGCGCTGGAACCAGCTGATGCACCTGCGCTACCGCCTCCAATTCCTCCACCGAAGCCGGGTCCTCCGCCTCCATGGCCGCCACTGCCGAAGCCGCCGCCTCCATGGGCACCACCTCCAATGCCGCTGCCTGCTGATCCACCAGCGTAACCACCGCCTCCAAGGCCAACACCTCCGCCTAGGCCACCGCCAAGGCCACCACCATGGGCGCCACTACCGAAACCACCGCCTCCATGACCCGCTCCTGCTGATCCACCGGCAAAACCACCGCCTCCATGGCCGCCACTGCCGAAACCGCCTCCTCCGAGACCACCACCGCCGCCATGTCCACCACTGCCGAAGCCGCCGCCTCCGAGGCCACCACCGCCTGCATGACCGCTTCCTGCTGATCCACCGGCGAAACCACCACCACCATAGCCGCCACTGCCGAAGCCACCGCCTCCATGGCCACCTCCAGCAGATCCACCACCGAATCCGCCGCTGCCGCCATGGCCTCCTCCTAGTCCGGCACCTCCGCCGCCGGCTCCAAATCCAGGTCCACCGCCTCCGTGTCCACCAGCGCTTGCACTGGAGCCAGCTGAAGAGGAGGCGCCACCGCCAGCGCCAGCGCCACCAAAGCCGCCACCGCCACCACCGAATAGACCACCTCCAGCTCCAGCTCCCAGACCCAGTCCAAGACCTGCACCACCGTGCTTGCCACCGCCAAGACCCAGGCCACCGCCTAGTCCCAGTCCAAGACCAGCACCACCTAGGTCCAAGCCGCCGCCTCCACCGCCACCGCCGCCAAATTTGCCGCCCGCACTGGCGCTGGAGCTAGCCGACGCGGATGCCGTGGACGAGGCACCACCACCGCCGCCTCCATAGCCAGCGGAGGCCAACGCAACGCAAACACTGAGCACTATAAACAATCTCATCGGAGCTTCTGACAAACACCAACTGACTTCGGCTCCTAGAGAACGCTCAGCTTTTATAAGAACGTCGAGGCATTGCGAAAATACAATTTACAACAAAATGCAAAAAAACCCAAAACTAAAAACAAGAAAATAAAAACAAAAGCAAAGCGAAAAGAAAATAAAAACAAATACAGTGAAATATAATCAAAGCAACAAGCAAATGCAAAACTCTAGTCACGTTCTGAGCACCGGGATCGATGTCGGGTCAGACGGAGCAAAACTTTGATAATTAACCCACACACAGAGGGAGAGAGCAAGGAGGAGAGTGAGTGAGAGAGAACGAGGGACAACATCAATAATATCGAGCCATAAACAATAACAAGACATTTATTATCATTTATATAATATATTCCTCATTGTCTGCGATTCTCTCGAAGTATAACGTAATCATCGACCAATCGAACAGATCTTCAAACAGAATTCAGATAAGCCAGAATCGAGCCTGATCGATTTTCTTGGTAATGTAAGAAAAACTTGTTGTAGAATATTGGAGCTAGGCTTTATTAACTTCATAGTAAAACTCTTTTACTTAACAGCTTGGGTAGATAATATGGTTAGAAAAATAAATAAAAATACTGTATTATAGGTCATCCATACATGCATGTATATCAAAAAAAATATATCAATATCATATATGTATATCTGCAGATTTCAATATACATATTTTATTATACCAGTTGCTCTATTAATCGATCGATTCTTAATTCCCATAATCAATATGTAATATATATTCAACACTCAATTCAATCTCTAAGATCATAATCATCAATGCCTCGAACTGCATAATGACAAGTCTGGAAAATACGCACATAAGAATGATTCAGATATTCCCGACACTTAAATTTCAAAATATTCTTTCGTCATATATCATTTAATATGTGCTACGCTCAGAGCATTCGTTATTCGTTGATTCTCGATTTTTGTTTTCTCTCTTGTTCCCATAGTAAATTGTTTACATAAATCAAGCCTGCGACGTCATTAAGATCGGAAATAGCTGCGCCAAACAAGATTAGAATACGAATTTAACGGCACTTAGTACTGCTGGATGATTATGAAAGTAACTGACCCTAAGGTGTATTTAGAGGGAGATTAAGCAGCTATTGGGGCTGCTATTTTAATCAGGTAAATAAAAAGTAATAAATAGACTTTACGATTGATTTTCTGATACTAAAGAAATGAGAATTGCTCGTTTTCGCTTACAAATATATTTTTAATTTTCTACATATTTTACAATGAGAAAACACCACATTAGATAAGACAATGACGCTGGAAGTTAGATTTTTCCATATCCCACGACTTAGACTGTGCACTGACCAAACACACATATATTAATTTATCAAACACGGATGTATTATGAATATAAATGTGATATTAATATGAGCGATAAAGAAAATGAATTTATGATAGTTATTTTATTATTATTCCTGAAGTATATCTCACAATACAGACAATGCATTGATCAACAATAGAAAAAAGGTACGATCCTATCATCCTCTCAGGCAGTCATCCATATAGCCAATCTCCATTCAGCTTGATACTTATGTGAGCATAAAAGAATGCAATCTCTTATAGACTTCTAGCTTATACTGAATATTTTTATTTTATTCACTGAGAACTAAATTCCAGCAGCAGAGTACATTTTGGTGTTGAGGAAAATGCAGTTTTCACGCCTTGAACACAGCTTTTCACTTATTTTGGATGGCCGGGTGAACTGAAATGCAAATGTCAAGAGTTGCTTGGCCTGAAAGCATAAGCAGCTCCGAGAGAGCAGTCACTCACTGAACAACAACGGCAGCACGAACCGCAGCAGCAGCAGCAGCAGCAGCAGCAGCTGTTGAGAAAATGGCATGTGCATAAGAAAATAGAAAATTTCCTCAAGGAAATCTGCTTAGAAATGCATGTACTTGTTGTTTCCACGGCTGTTGCTGTTGCTGCCGTTGCTTGGTTTCTTGGAAAATCTGCTACAGCTTTGTGGGCCAAGTCATTGTCAGCTGAAAGAAACAACTTTTGACTTCCGTTTCCGGTCGAGCCGGAGCTGCTGCATATTTAAAAACGCACAGTTTTATGCAAATATCTATTCCATATTTAAGGCTACACAACAAAGGCAAAATAAATAAATAAATATTAGATATGCTGCTGGACGAACGAACTGAACATCATTTCGCATGTAGCCCAATTGCACGCCCTCGTACCCTCAGGCCCTTGACCTCGCCCTCCACATCCCTGGCCGGCGGCTGGGCCGTTGGCAACGGCTGCTTGCCCAGCACTTGCAGCATGCGGTCGTAGAGCAGCCGGCGCACATCCACAGCCCAGAGGAAGTCCATGTGGTTGAACTCCTTGAGCGGCACCAAATACTTGCCAGTCACATTGCCCAGGTCCTCGCACATGGACTCCACGTCGTGCGGATGACACAGCAAATCGTTGCTTGAATAATAAACAAAAGTCGGCACCGTCACCAGACTCAGATTGTAGCGCGGCGGCAAGTGGTCCCTATACAATGCCATGTTCTTGTTCGAACTGTAGCTGTACGGTGCGAATCTGCCGCTCTTGATGATTTGTATAAAGTGCTTGACCTGCTTGGCGGCCACGCCTGCCGGATAGTGGCCCAAAACAACGGGAAACATTTTCTAAAATGACAAAAAACACTTGAGGTGCCAGGAAATTGGCCAAACAACTACCACTCGAGCTTACCCTGTTGAACTCGTTCCAATTGCGTCCCACAATGCCAAAGACAGCCTCGATGCAAAGTCGCTCCGTCTCTTCGGTCATGCGGCAGAGAAAGCGAAATTCCCCATTGAACATTTCGGTGATGGAGCTGCCTACCAGGGTCTGGGTAATGAGGAGGGTACGGGGAGAATATTAGGAGCGTACGGGATATAAAGAGTGTATGAAATATAATGATCATAAGGGCATATAGGGAATATAGGGAAGGAATAGTATGATGTATAGAATATAAGATATGTGAAGAGTATTTAGGAATTATATGAAATATAAGAAATGTGGGGAAAGCAGGGAATGTAATAAATATTCGAAATATGTGTAAGGAATATTAGTAATATATAAATATATGGAATATTCGAAATATAAGTAATATGTATATGGAATATATGTGTAATATAATAAACAAATCAAAACATATTTGCCATTATTCGACGAATCCCAGAATACCCTCAGATGGCTCTTTGATAAGAGAAATCTTGGAGAATTCTTAGCTATTAACTCGTATGGTACTGGTCTGACATATGCCTCCCTCTAAGCGCTCATCAAGACGTTTGGATCACAAGACCAGCTTACTAAAGAGATCTCATTTACAGATTTTTACCACTGCTATCTACGTATATTTATATCTCTGCTATTATATATGATCTCTGTCAAATACTCACATTGAAATACAAGCTGATGGCACGTATATAGGGATGATCTTCGGTCTCTTTGGCATAGACAGCCGGCGCCATGGCCTGCATGGAGATGACCTTCTCGTTGTAGGCCGGTCGCATCGAGCACATGACAAAGAAAGCCGTGCAGCCCTGGGAGTGTCCGGCATATTGCAGCTTCTTGTAGCCGGTTACCTTGAGCACATAATCGATCATGGCCGGCAGATCATACATGCCTATTTCGTGCCAGCTGAAGTCCCAGAACTTTGAGGCATCCGGATCGAGTGTGGTGTGGTTTCTCGAGTAGCGATTGCCGCGCGCATTGCCCAGCCAAACGTCATAGTTGTGGTCGGCCAGCAAGTAGCCTGGAGCGAAAGTAGCCGTCATCACATGGCCATCATTCATTAATCATCGTGGCGACACTCACCCAGACTCACATTGGGGCCCATCACAACGAAGCCCGCCGAGCTGTCGACGAGTCCGTGCTGCAGCAGAAAGGGCTGGGCGCCCGATTTCCGTATGCGATGCATTGTTAGAATGTAGCCGTCCTCTGTGGTCACATGATGCACTTCCGCCTGGTAGCCGTATTTGGCAATTAATTTATCCTGTTGATGAAATGTGTAAATTGTCGTTGCAGTTGATGGGCGAGTTGGCTCGGGTCATTAATCTTCGTACCACAGTTAGGTTGGAGTCCTGCTTGATGTTTTTGCGCTGTAATTTCTCTTCGGGCGTCTCATCCTCGACACTCTCCTCCTCCTCCTCCTCCTCTTCCTCCTCCTCGTCGTCCTCCTCGCCGCCAATCAGCTGCGCCTGCGCTCTGCCAATCAGCAAACACAAGCCGAGTGCCAGCAATAAGCGACGTTGCATTATGATGGATGAATCGTACCTTCACTCCAATTGAACCGATCAGCATAAAGAGAAATTGGGTCTTTCAATTTCGTATATTTTCTGTGTTTTTTGTATACTTTGTTTGCTTGGGCTCTTCACTTGTTGGTCAACTTGAGCGCTGCGCGTCGCGGCCTCAACTGAAACTGAAACTGAAACTGAAACCAAAAATCCGGCGACGCGTTTACAAAGAATGCCGAAAAAACTTTCGATCGCCAACAACAACAATCAAAGCATTGACAACAACAACGACAACAACAACGACAACAATGATAATAACAAAATGCGTTATGACGTGTTTTTGATTTTGTTTGGTTTTACCTCTTTGATTTTAAAATATACCCTGTAATTTAGTGCCGATTGAAGCTGACTTTGATTCAAATTAGTGAACAAGAGTGAAAAAATTATCTTCTGATTAAATAAGATTAAGTGCCTAAGAGATTAGTAAGTTAATTAATTATATATACCACAGCAAGACAATACAGCAAACAATAATGACAACAATATCTTTATTTTTTAACTAAAAACTATAGTACATGTAAGAAAAATACCAAAATAATATCAATAAAAGAGTGTTAAATTAAAAAAAAAAAAAAAAACCTATAAAGAATTGACATTTAAATAAAAATAATTGCTTAATATTTTCTCTTTAACAAACTTTTAAGCATATAATAATGAATTTCATATAAACATAAATATGTAAACATAAACAAAACAGAAAAAGAGTTGAATATAAATATATTGAATCTGATGCATATATTAATAAATATCATATCTATGTTCGTAATAATCTCATGAATATATGAATATAAATTAAATCTACATTAATTTGCATATTAATTTTAAATAAATATTATAATTCATAAATAACTAAACCGACACATATGTGAACAACTACATTTACATAAACCAAATAAACTATAGAGTATTTGAATGTTTCCATATTCCCCTCCCTCACTCTCTCACTCTCTCTCTCTCTTTCTCTCTCTCTCTCTCTCGCTTCTCTTGTTGTAAATTTTGTAACTTTTATATGATATGCTTTCTGACAGCTAATTAAGGTAAAAGAGACGGCAAGTGCGAAAAGAGAGAAGGCAAACGAGAAAACAAAAACAAAAACAAATTGAGATGCGTTGAGTGTTGTTATCGATAAAGAATTACAATCAAAATGCAACTACAGTAGAGCTTCGCTGGGCGTGTTTTATATTTTGAAACTGTGCCAGCTTTCATCTAGGTCGAAATGAACTGATTACCTTTGCCTTCGTTTGGCAATAGCAAACGAAATATGTCAACGCACCAAATCAAAGAAAAACTTTTCCAGCTCAATT